ACTGTGTTCCTGATCCACACCTCAGCTGCTATATTTCAGCTCTATTTCCAGTCCAAATTTTTGTCACATTTGTATCATATTTATTGAAGAAAGAAGCATAGGTGATCTAGAAAAGGTCAATCTTTGCTGACAACCACAGTCATTACTGAATAGAGGGTCGTATGCTCCTCCAACTTTCATTAGAAACAAATGAAAGGAAAAAAATTAGAAATTTAATACAAAAATTTCTACAGCCGTATGAGAATTATGAGAAAAAACAATATTGTCCTGTAAAATATTTGCTTAAAAAGAAAAACACTGCATCATTATCCTTTTCTTTTTTTTTTTTTTTGTATATATATATATATATGTATAAAAATGTTTAGTTCAGTCTGTTCTTTGGTTTAGGCTTGAAGTATTATTTTAGAAAAAAAAAAATATATGTTTGGCAACATTTGTTTCATATAGAGAAAAAAACCTAGTTTTAAAAAATCCTGTTTGGCACTACGGAGATGACTATTTTGGTAAGCTTATTGCTGCATGTATGTGTAATTCACTGCTGCTGTTTTGTTTGTTTTTTCTCTATTGCATTTAGGTTATCTGGTTTCAGATACAATCTATTAAGTGGAATATTTTTCAGTAGCTGAGGTTTTCCCACCTGTCTACCCTAAAACACCTGCAACATATGTTTGTGTAACCCTGCAATGCTTTGTGGTTTGGGCCTTGAGAAATTCCCCCAGAGCTTTTTGCTTATAAACAGCTGAGCAATTCATTTCTCTAATGACGAGTGCTTTTCCCTTGGCATTGAGGCAATAGCATGTTCGCTAAAATAAGTCTCATCTTTTCTTCAGACATACTGAAATTCTTTTTTCATTGTTGTCTCTGAGCTTCAGATTTTGTGTAAAATTGTATTTGATTTTTTTCTCCTGTTAATAATACTGAAGAGAGAAGTGAGGAACTACCTCAACAAAGAAGAGAGTGTTATAGAGATTCTTCCACTTGAATCTGCGTGTTAACTTTTACAAATAATGTGTATTCAGATGGTGAAACATTACATTCCAGTAACTGATTGTCCTAATATGTTGTAGAACAGCCTGACTGTGACTTCTGTCATCCACAAGCATGCTTTGCTGTATCATATCTATTCTATGGGTAATGCGATGCAGAACGTCTGCAGAGGCCAGTGAGGAAAATACTGAGGGTTATACTAGGGAATTTGAGCGTATACATGATCCTAGCCTGCGGGAATTGCTTTGCAGCAGTTTATGCAAGTTTAGGGAATCTCTTCCACACTGGGTGTGATACTGACTACAGCCTCAGCCCCCTGCCTAGGAAAAGAACAAGCATGGGTATAACTTAACTTGGCCCCCTGACCATGGTGGAGAATAAAGCCAAATAGAAAGCCTCCAAGAGCCTCCTGCCAGCCATGGGAATTGGAGTGAGTCTGTCTGGTCATGGCTAAGAACAAAGGCAGGACGGGGTTAGGACTTCAGCAGGCAAAAGGCTGGGTGGCATCTTTTAGGAAAGGACAGGCTCAGAGGCAGGAGAACCTCAGAGATACCTGAAACATTTTAAGGCATCTCTTCCCTCTGGGCTGAGCTAATATATTTTGAAGGGACAAAGTCCAAAATCACATCAATTTCTGTGTGCTTCTGTATCTCAGTTTCATACCCTGTCCTTTGAAAAGTATAAACTGGGCATTTTCTACCAGTTGAAACTAACATTGCTCTAGTTAGAAATTAAGATTAGAAGAATGATAAAACCAGTAGACTCTTCCTACAAAATGGGTGTGAGAAAGATGGATTTCTAGTATGTGCACAGGCAGCTTTTCTCTGTGATTTCTGTACTGTCATTCGTTAGAAGGGAAAAAACGTAAATATGTTAATCTGTATAATGCCCTTACACAGTTTCTTCAGGGGACTCAACAAACCACTGATTTGAAGGGTTGATTTCACTGTCTTTTTAACATTATCCTTTTAAGAACAAATATTTTATCTGAGGTACTACTCAGAACACAAATTGAAAAAAAAGTAAAAACTTTACTTGCTTAGGCAATTAAAAATACAAATAGGATCATTCTGTATTGCACTATGTAGGTAAAATATGTGGTTACTGTGAATATTTTAATCAACAAAGCTATGTTTTGCTGTAAACTGTTTCATCTTCAGTCCTAACACATGGCATGTAATATAGGGCGCAGCTTAAATTGCATGCTTAGAGAGGGGAATGAGTTTAAAATTTATAAGGAAGAGACTTTAATTGTGTAGGTTTTCCTTTTTGCTTCTTACATTTAACTCACTGAAATTGTTAAAAAGAACATAAATTTAAAGGACCATCACAATGACACAAAGATCATAATTTTCATAAAACCATATTTTTTTGCTGTCTGAATTTCAGTTTTCATGAGTATTTAAAATATCTGTGTTGATACTTCACAGATACTTGTCTGATAACATACACCTCAGGCTGGGTTCTTTTGAATAATGAGATCTTCCAAAAGGGTCTCTCTGTAGTGTTACAGAAGGAGCTGCAGCAGTAACCCTGGGTATTTACTGTCTTGCATTTCTAATGTTTTTTCAACAGCATTTTTTCTGAGGGCTTTTTTTTCACTGCATGTAATAGTACTTTAAACTGCTTCTTTCTTTGATACCTTTAAAACCTCACAGGAATTTAAATAGGCCCCGTGAAAGTAATGCTTGAGTCTCATTCATATGTTCGAGTTAGATCATTATTCCTATTAATGGCTTTAAGTGCTTAGATAGTAGATCAGCCTTTCGTGTCTTGAATTGCTTGTCATTTCTGCATAAATATGTTTCAAGATACTGTTCCACATGATCTTTTATTTATTTATTTTATTTTTTATTTACTCAGAAGCGATGTGTGATGATCTTTATTGGGTAGTAGAAAAAGAAATTTTGATTGTTTTGCTAAGTTTAAATATATACTGAGTTACTAGAAACTAATTGCAAAATCAGCTGGCATCTGGTAACATGAATTTCTCAAAGGACCTGTCTTATGACTTAGAAGTGCCCGTTCTTTTAACCATCTATTACTCTTTCTCCTTATTGAAATGGTCATCAAAACATATAAAGAAAAAAGTTATTTAATTCTTGGGAGAAAAGTTACATTGTTTGATTACTCTTATAGTAGTTGCAGAACCATCAGTTACTCTCATCACGTCAGTTTGGATTTGATTATCATAGAAATGCATTGAATTACCAAACTAGAGCAATAGTAACTAAAGCTGATTCATTGTTATTGCTGTCAGTGGATGAGGACTGACTTACAAGCCATGTGAATGGGCAGAGTTATGCAAATATTGTTTTTATAACGGGAGAATTAAAACGTAGTGCGGCCATTACAATGTGGGTGGTAGGATAGATGAGGATTTTTTTAATGCCTCTCTAATAGCTTTTAGTTGTTTCATTTTTTAATGAACATTGCAAACAGGATATACTTTAAAAATGTTTGATGTGTTTCCAAAGAAAGAAAATGAGACATTTCATACAAGATTAAGTCTGACTGCAGGAAATGATCTGGAAATTCCCAGCCTTAAGTTTCACCCCAGAAATCATCCTGGCCTTTGATATCTACTACCTCTTCAAGTCATCTTCTCTCCTTTTGTGCACATGCAATATTTTGGTATTGTAAAAAGCAACTCCTGTATCTTCCTCCAAAAATAAGGTTTCCGAGGAAGGAGGGTTATCTGCACTTATGTGGAATATGAGAGGATAGGACTGTGTATACTCAAGTCTATAATGAAATCTGGAAGGCAAAAATATGATATGTGAAGCTGAAAGAGCTGCAGTCTGACTCCATCTAAAATATAATGTAGTCTCATTTGTGAATGACTATTTCAAAAGCTCATTGTGTAGTTCATTAAAACTATATTTACTACTAGAAGGAATTAAGAAGGCAGAGCAGAATATAAGGTAATACAAACCTTTAAAGAAAATCCTTGGAAGGTATTTAGGACTGTTGTATACAATATATTTGATTATTATGCAGAAATTTACCAATTTTTTTCTTTTACACTAGAAATGATTTCTTTAAGCTGTTTCTCTTCCAGTTTTTGTATGTGTGGATATATATGTGTGCGTGTATGTGTGTATGTGTGTAGAGAGAGAGAGAGAGAGATAGATAAGGGCGTCTTTGTACCTCTCTGTTATTTTGGTTTCATCTGTATGAAAATTTTTTTACTTACAAATGTTTACTTTCCCCTCCGAATAACATCCTTAAGGATGCATTCATTCAATCAAGAGATTTTATGCATATAATTTGATCTAAACTTAATGTTCAGTGGATAATTAGATCTGGAAAGGATGATTTCAGAACTACTGAGGGTTTCAATGAAATAGTTTCATTATGGCAGAGGTAGAAACTAACAAGTGGCTTCTGGCTTCAATATTACTTATATACGTTTTATTGTAGGAGAACTGTTCTTTATTTGTGACTTCAGTTTCGAGTAGAGTGAAATTTGGGGAGAAAAAGTCTCCGTGTGCCATCTGGTGGTAGTGTGCAGGTTGTATCCCTAGATTTAATTCTTTGCTTAACCAAGACATTGCTAGTGGTGCATTCAGTTCAAATCTTAGCTATAGTTTCTCCTTACTTGTACTGTTTTCTTTCAAATTATCACTTTAGCTTGGAGGTAGTAAAATTCTACAGCTGACCTAAAGGAAGAAATCAGATCAGTATCTGAATTTGTCCAAGAATTATTGATTTAGTTAGAAATGTTACCACTACAGCATCAGCCTCGTTGTGTGGAAGAACACTAATTTCTGTGAGCATGGAGTGGACTTACTGGTAACACTTAATATTATTTTAAGTATTTTAAGACTTCACTTATATCTAACTGATGTTACTGCCTTGAGAAACCAGGATCCCGGGAAAAGGAATTGTTCTTTAAATTTCTACACTTCTGATCTTCATTAATGACTGTGTCTATCACGTGTTCTTTAAATCGCTCAGAAAATTACAGTAAGGTATTCTTTTTAAATATTTTAATTTATTTTGTCTTTTAGAGAAATCCAAGACCAGTGACTCATCAGTTCCAACAAAATTTAGATTATTACAAAGCGCGTGGAGCAGACTTGATGAACAAAACCCGGTAAGCTCCTTCTGAATATGTGTTCACTGAACTAAGACATTACATAAGCGAAAGATATTATATATATAAACAAAAGACATTACATAAACAAAAGAAGTCGCTTTTATCCCAAACTGGAATGACACAGTAGCATTAGAAGCACTTGTATTTATTTTGAATCTTTACCTTGATTATTCTTACACAAAAAATGAAAGTTTTACAGATCGTGTTGCAGTCAGCTCACTAGAATTTTTTTAAGGCTAAGGACATTCATACACAATGACATGTATATTAGATGCAACAGGTAAAATATTGGCCATGTGAGTTCTGTAGACGAGCTACTTCTGATAATGCATCTAACCACAGTCTAGAGCATCATGTACCAGAAGCTGTGTAAGTTAAATAGAATTAATGTAAATCCAGTTTGAAGTAAGTTTTACTAAATCTTTTTGCAGCATTCCTCCCTTGATTTGCAAATGGTTTGTACCAGTGCTGCTTAAAATCAAGGCCATCTTATCTGGTGGTCACAAGTATAGAGGTGCCCATGCCTCAACTGGGTGGCCACAACGTGGACACCAGTTGCGGGTGGGTGGTGGCTACTGGGGGGATGGCAAAGCCAGCACAAGACACAATGCCTCACTTCGCTTTACACCATCACTGGCAGTTTCTTGGACTGCACATGACCTCAGCCAAACACTGTCCCTGCTGTTTTATAGGAACTTGCTGGCTTTTAGACCTTTGCACCTCTGTCAAATTCTGTTTAAACCAGTGACATTAAAAGCTAGCTAAAATTAAAATGGAGGGGATTAAAAAGCTCTTAAAAATGAAGATTAAAGCTGAGTAGAGTAATTGCAAAAGCAACTTTTTATAAAAAAAAAAAACCAACCAGGCTTTAAACTTACGGAAGGGTGTCAAAAACTACCACATTCTATTGCATTTTCTTGATGGTTTTATGTTTATTCTTTTAATAAATGGTCTCGAGAGTTGTCTAAGTTTGAAAAATAAGTTATTTGAAAATTCTGAAAGAAACATTTCAAGGATTCTGGGGGAAAAAATAAAAAAAAAATAAAAATCATGAAGCCCAGACAAGAATGACACCTGTTGGAAACCTAAATTCTGAGGAAACAGATGTCAATTAGATTTATGTAGGGATATAATCATTGCACACATACATATAGGGCACATACTAAAGGAGAGGAGAAATTGTTTACAATAGTTCAGATAGAGGAATAACTGGGATAAATTTATCTCAACACAGGAGCATTTAGAGTAGATCAAGTATAGTAAATCTCTTTAAGATTGGACTGGAGAGAGAACTGGAAGATGTAACATTAGGAAATGTTTCTGTAGTGAGCAGAGAGATGGACTAGATCAGCTCCCAGGTCTTTTTCATCTTTAATTCCATAGGCTCAATGATATATTTAAAATATCTTGGCAGGTATCTAGTATATATTGCTCATTTTGTCACATATAAAACTTCATAATCTGTCATGTTCATGTATTTGTCTCTCATCTCTCATAATGGCTACTTACTGAAGAGAGAAATGCCTTTGAATAAGTCTTGCTTAAAACAAAACATTTTCATCTTAGCAGAAAACCACAGGAATTGAATCATCTTCCTACTGCTACTTTAAAAATACACCATTCACAGTCAAGGTCAATGATGCTTATTGTGATGAAACAAAGTTGTTTGCCTCATGGATGGAATTCACGTCTCCTTGATACTCGTATTTTTAAATTGATGCCTTATTTTTAAATGCATCTGCTGATAACTCCACAACGTAGAATCATAGAATCATAGAATAGTTAGGGTTGGAAAGGACCTTAAGATCATCTATCAGCATTTTTCTTGTAATTGTTGTGCATGTCTGGTACATTTAGATGGCTAAAATGTAGACATTGATCCATGTTTAATGACTGCAATCGTCTTTTGCATTAATATATCAGACATTTAAATGATAAGAAACAGTTACATTGTTCTTATTCTCCTGAACTTCAGCTCCGTTTTAACATACCTCCTCCAGAGATCTAGCACTTCGCTATTGTTCATTTTCTGAAGCTGTGATTCAGAGAAGTTGCACAACAAATTTTACTTCAGAATGCCTTTTTTTAAGACCACCTCTTGACAAGAAATTTAGATAGCATCATTATTTATTTTTCGTGTATGTATTCTGAGATGATCATTATCAGTATCAGTTCATAGCAGGTATTAGGAGCTGCGACAACTATCCTTTCTAGTTCTCAAATAGTTATAAAACATTATAGCTCTTTATTGTTGAAAGCATTTTTCTGAATCATATTTCTTAAAATAATGGTTTAGAGAAGATTTTTGATGTTTATTGTTCCTGTAAAGTGAAGTTTCTCAAAAAGTCTCTTTCCAACCATCTGAAAAATGCAATTAAGCTAACTTTTCCTGGTTATATTTATGTCAAAGCAGCAAATTAAACAGTGTGGAAGGAAAACTGATAGGTCTTATTAAGTAAAATACTGCTGAAAGAAAGGAACAAGAAGGAAACAACCTGTTGGACACAAATACAAGCTTCTGTGTAAGCTTTGTCTCCTGCATCTGTGGACCATCACGATTCCAGTGATGCAGTTGTTCAAAGCATCCAGTGGCTTTGTTGCTCAGGTAGGCACTCAGAGAAAAAAATTTGCTTGCAGTAAATACAATTTTTGTGCAAAGTCAAGGGGTTTTTTACTGATTGTCAAAGCTGTAGACCTAGAGACAACACAAACCTCGGAGTCGATGTGCAAGCCATTAAATTCTTTCTAAGGTGATGTTTCAGGTGAGTGAGTGATATATACCACCCCAGTCTTGGGTGACTAGTTTCAGCAGACTGAGATTTAAAAATATGCCAAATACACTGAAGTTTGGATTCTGAATCTCAACCAAGTTATTAATGATATGACCCCCAAAGTCATGATGTAATTAGATTCATTTCAAATTGCTGATAATTGATTGAGATCTGCTAAGCCAGAATTTTTTCTTCCACCTTCAAATCTACAATCTTTGTTTTCTTTCTGGAATGGAGAAGACATTAAACAGAAGGCCCTGTGGTGATTCTTTGGATGCCACATATATGTGATGGAAAGGAAAAAATCTCCTTTTTTTCCCTTGAGTGTCTCTGCACTACCTTGGGGAACTGAGTAATACCTGAATCTGCTAGGTAGTAGCAGAGTAAAATTTGATAGTAATAAACATTTTACTGTGTCCTCTTCTTTAAAATCATTGTGACATATTCAGTTTGCTTTTGAAACCATATGGGGCTCGTGCAAGAGTATTTTGTAGATCTGAAGATGCTTTCTTTCTAGTGACTTTTCAGTCATTCTCGGGTGGCTATAGGAAGACTTTTTGTAGTATCAGCAGCAATCAATAGACTGGGGAGACATAGAAACATTCTGTGATCATTATTAAGCAATCATTCCTTTACAGCTTCCGTAAATTGGGAAGCAGCACTTTGTCCCAGACTCTGTGCTGCAGTTCCTCCTAGAAAATGCTGCTTGCTGTCCTTCTTCTTCTCCAGTATCTAGCAGAAGGGCCCCATACAGCTTGGAGCTGTATCTCATGAGTGTGCGGGCTCACATACTTTCTCCTGCTGTCTCTCATTTTAACTGTATCTATTCTGAGTCTAAACAACTCAGCTGTTGTTATTTTCTGGGTATGTTCTATATGTGTGTGCGCATTTATATTGTGTATTCTAAAAAAAAAATCTCTTGAGACAAATAGGGAAATGATATGAAAAGCAAAATCAAAATCACTTTTCCAGGTGCCTGCGCAAGTTACAAGTCACCCATGTTAATTCATTTGTGGTTTATTTTTAGTTCAACTTCCCCAAAACATTGCAAAACTATTTTTTTCCCCAGTACAATGATTTTATTGTTTCTAATTACATGTGTTTCTTCAAAATTATTAAAGAAAGACAGCTATTCATATCACTGAAGTACAGATGAGTAGAATAAAACCTCAGGAGTGGAAAGGTCTTTGTGATTGTGCTATATTTCTGTTAAGGGTATTTTGAGCATTAATTATATAAAACAGGAAAATACTGTATGAGCAAACAGGAATAGCTTTGCTGATCCCTGGGTTATGTGGTCACTCCTACTGGGAATTAGAAGCTTCTTTGCCTCTTTATTCTAGACAGATTAAATGGTTCGACAGTTTCCTCATTCTTAATGTTGCATATAACTGAAGTGAATTAAATAGCCACTGTAGTTAAAAATTAACAATTATAAGGATCATGATCCACTATATGTGTTACATCCTGAGACCATTCTTCAGCCAAAATCACTGTAGAAATCAGGATTCCTGTTATAAAGTGCTTGGCTTGAAGTGGACGGGCTGGGCAGAAGGTGAGGTAAGAGCAAGAGACATCTAGCTCTGCCAACCTAAAAATACAGTCTGGTGTTAGTTGAAAGAAATATTTGGGTTTGAGTTATTCTAAACATCTAAGAGAACTTTATCTCACAAAATATTAAAGCAGTCTTTGATTGAGAAGTACAAGAAGTCAGTTTTACAAAATTTTCGGTGCTTTAGAGGCTGGATTGCTCTTTGTCACTACTTCATTTTTTCATTTTAAAAGGCAAATTAAGAAAATCAGTGCACACTTGCTTTGTTTGGGATTATTCTGGAATTTTCAGGAAGAAAAGCCAAAACAATTTCTCCACTACTAGCTGGGAAAACCTTGCACCACCACAGTCCCTGTGGTTCCTGTGTGCATTCCAGTGCAACTGTAGTATTGGAAGGGTGCAATGCGATGTTCAAGTCTTGGAATTCTTCTGGAGAACAGTGCACGCGCTGCTGTGCCTGTCCAAACCACTGACAAGGATGTGATCATTTCTCCTCTTCTTTTTCCAGCGCCAGTGCTAAGGCTGCCCCATTGAACATTAACAAAGTCTCCAACAGCTTACTGAATTTCGGCCGAAAGCTCATTGCTCCGGCTATGGCTTCAGGTGGGGCTGTGGGTGCTCCTGCCGGCGGGAGCAGCTTCCCCACCTCTGCAATGCCTATCAGAAGCACAGTGGAAACCCCCCAGCACCAGCACCACCACCACCAGGCACAGCAGCAAAGGATGATGAAGTCCGAAAGCATGCCGGTTCAGCTGGGCAAAGGTAAAGGTGAAACGTGTGGCAGCGTCAAATGTCTTAAGGACTGAAGAAAGTCCTTTTATTGATAATGTATCAATGGGTACATACTTGGAGGGAACAAAAAAAACACAGAATTTTGTTAGATTCAGGACATCTGTGATAAGCTCAACAGCATGTTTTCAATGTAATCCAGAAGTTGTTGTTAACTCAAGAATGTACAAATACTACAGGAAGTTTTAAACCTTAAAAAAAATATTAAGCAGAAATTACATCAGACATACCAAAAGACTACATTGTTATAATAAACATCAGACAGTTAATTTGTCAGTGCAACGTGTTTGTAACTCTAAGACTAATTTCGTATAGGTTTTTTGAGGTTATTGGCACAAATCCCCTGCATAACATTGTTAGCTAAATACAAGGGAAGGAAGTTAGATCAATTACAGAGTAATTCTTAATAAATTAAATCTTATTCCCTTTAGAATGTGTAGAGCTTATTTGAGAAGTTGTTTGAACAATAACATGTATTTGCCTTTTAATAATTTCTGATGGCCCTCTTCACTTTCTATGCTTAGTAAATCTTTTTCTTGAGCCTTTTTTATATATATATATATATTTTTTGAGGACACTATTCAAACAACAAAGTCACAGGCTCAGCTTCAGTAGTTGTTTTCTGTACTCTGCCACGCTCAAGGTGCGTTAGTGCTTTTCATCTTCAGACAGCCTATGGCAGTATGTTCTTTGCACAGGGTATGTAGAGTGATATGCTGCCTGCCATTTTCCAGCAACTCATCCTAAGTAACACACAAGTTTGAGGGCTGGTGCTGGTTGACCTGAACCATTATGTAGTATTGCGTCATATTTTTCACCAGATTTGAAAGTATAAGAGAAGGGAAATAACACTTCATATCTGAAGTCGACATTCTTTCCCTTTCCTGGGGCACCCATGTGGTCCAAAGTTAGTCCTTTCATAATGCACCACATCCCCAGCAGACACTGGGGACCAGAATTATAAGGTACAACCATCCTCTTGAAGAAAAGAGATACGGACACATCTGTAAGGGCCACTGCAACTGCTTGGCAAAACCCAGGTAGGCAGCTTCTCTCAGAATCAGAGAATAATCTCAGAAGTTGCTCCAGCAAGGGTTATGCAGTGCAAACATGAAACTGAAATGCAGAGAATTTTTGATGCAAATCCTCTTCACAACAATGGAAGTAAAATTAGGTGTGAAATGAAACCATTTTCACAATTTCTGTGTGGCTATCATTTTCTTTTTTAAAAGAAAAAAAATCCATAGTTCCCTTATCACTTTTTTTTTGTTACATTTTGGACTGAAAAGTGGTCCTCAAGTGCTTATTTTGTTTCCCTGCTTAATATAAAAGATGTGTACAATTTGAAGAAACTTCTATAGATGGAATTGATTGTAGCTTAATCTTGGTCTAGGTGGTCAAGGATGACCTTGTTTACACTTGTATGTGCCAATTAACATGTTGCATCATCCAGAAATGCATCTGACACTTTCCATACATGAATCAGAATAAAAAATTGTAGTTACATTTGGTCATTGTCATGTACAGGCTGCGCACATATTTCTGTATAACAGGAATTTGGACATTTGGTAAAGCTGTCAACAAATTGTGCAAATCTGTGATGTAGGCCACAAAGCACTTTCATGGTAAGAGGAAATATAATGTACTGCAACAATTTATTACCTGCAGCTTCTTCTCACCCTACGCTGTCTATACATGTGTGGTACAACACTTGCAGAAGTAATTTAAAGGCAACAAAATGTAAATACACTTCTTTTAATCAGTTGAGATGAGAGAGTTTTGTTCTGCATACTGTTCTACATACATACTTTTGTTCCAGACCTGTGCAGTTATCAGTATATTGCCTGTAGCTTGATAGACATTTTAAAGGGCAGCTGACTGTATTTGCAAGTGCTATAATTTATATTTCTAAAGAGAAACACAAAATGGCAGAGGAAGTAGAAAGTCTCTTAGAGGCTGCCCAGTGAATCCAGTGAATTGTCTCTGAAGTAAGTTTAAATGTTGGAATAGCTTAGCAGAAAAAGAATAAATCCCTATTTGCAGTGACACTGTGGTGCACACTGGTTTGAAGCATGATGCAGATACCTTTGTAAAGTACTCGACACCATCTCTTTTAAGCCTTAAAAATGACAATGTCGTTTCAGTTCTGTGCAGAAGGACAGTATCACCACTTCAGGAAATTGCTGTACAGTCTCCAGTGAATGAGGGCACCCCCAAAGCTCTGAGAAGTTGCGGGTACTTCTGTCCCAGTCATTAAGATTTAGGATTTAGAATGTATTCATGCCTTAGAAGCTGCTCTTTGTGATTAACTGTATACATGCCTTTTTACCTTCTGCGCTGGCTTTTTTAAAACTGTGGGTTCTGCTCTAGAGCTTTTGAGTATCTAAAAGCTATTTGGCATGGTTTGTAACTATAGGGCTCCCAAGCTGCTGACTAGCTGTCACTAAATTGTCTTATGTTCCCATTCTTCACTGTGTTTTCAGCTCCCCTCAACCTCACGAAGCTTGGTTATCTGGCTGAGGTAGGCAGAGGCACGAAATTAGGATTTAAATTGATAGACATCTGCACTTCCAGTTGATCTAACATTTACACATGCTCAGTTGAACAGTGTAATAGACTGAAGTGCTGTAAGTCTGATAGACACCAAGTCATAAAAGAAGTTATCCATTTTTCTCATATTGTATTAGTCGTTTTAGGTTTTAAATGCTCAAGTAGTGCTGATAATTTAATATGTGGAGGGTTATAAGTTTGAATTGATTGCCTGCTCTGATTTTTTATTACGTGTGGAGAAGTCCTTGGAAACAAAATACCTTGTAGGACTGGCAAAGTAATCCTCTCCCAGCTTTTAACAGCTCTGTTTAGAGTTACAACTCACAAACAGCAGCAGTGGCAAGTGTCATTCCTGTTGCTACCTCCAGGGGTAGCTTGTGCTGTACTCTAGATGAGGGATGATTGGTTTACATAATCAATAGTAATTATTTCTCACTTTGAAGTTTTGGTACTTGCTGAACTCCTTTAAGAAAAAACTCATATAATTTACATAATGTAAACGGAAAAACAGCAGACTGATACTAAAAAATAGAAATAATTGCAAGCCTGTGATTCCAGATGAGTCTTTAACATTACAAATCACAGCTGAACGAAGTATCCAGACACCTAAATGGATGTTCAGTTCCTCCTAATAATATATTAATCCCGTTCAGTCTGTCCTCAGCACAGAAGATCAGGTATCATTACTGATTAGTTATGCAAGGTAGCCTGCTAATGGGAAAATGATTCACATATTCTCTTGATCCTACACAGTGAAGGAATTCATTGGCACAAAGGCTGAATTCCAGTCGGGTTCATTGGATTGTCACTTGAGTTCATTGTCTTGAAAGAGAAAAATATTGATAACAAAAAAAAATAGGGAAAAAAAGGCAGAGTTGTTGTCCTTGTGTTCCGCTGGATTCTCAAGCATTCAATATTGGATGCTCTTTGATTCCCGAACAGCAGTGTGTTGCCAGAAAAAAAGGCACTTCTTTTTCACTTCTTCCCTGATAGTTTTCCTTCCAGGCCCTTTCACGCTGAAGCCCAAAAGGCTTTTGATTTAAATGCTGCTTTATCACAAGGACACGTTAGAGGACCAGTTTGAAGATGAAGTTTGCCAAAACTGTGATCAGCTGTTTAAAGAGTTTCCAGACTACTGTTTGTTTTTATGAGCTTTCTGTGGTATTTGTTATAACATGAACAGAATTTCCACAGCCACTGAACATGCCCTAAAGAAATGATCTGCATATTTAGAATTATTTATGAACTGTGTCTAGAAAATGAGTATGCTTTTTCAGAAGGAAAAAGAAGTTGTTCTTACTGATAGCAGAACTGAATAAAAATTAAAGGGCTAAAACACTGATTAACAAATGCTTTTTTTTTTTTTGCCTTTAAAAAAAAAATTCACATTTATTAGGCAATTATGAAATCTTGTTGACAGTAAGAATATGATGCTCCCAAACTAGCAGAATGACACTGTCAGTGCAAAGTACCAGAAACAAAATAGGTTTGAGTGGTTGTTTTAGTTTAGATTTAGCTATAAATCTTAAAACCACTGCTTTTTTGCATATGTCAGAATGCAGCGTATAATGCACCAAGTATTAAAATTTCCAGGGGGGTTTGCCAGCTCTTATAATGCTGTTTGTGTTCAAAGTAGGGGCTTCCAGGTACAAACCCCGCAGTTGCAGCTCTTTACGTCAGTGAATTGCACAAGTTGGGGACATCTTCTAACGCTGTTGTTTGTGCAGCAGGCGAGGCAGAGGCAGATGCTGGGCTGCCGGGCCCTGCGCAGCATCCCCCTGCCCTCCCAGGTACCGCCGCAAAGCCGCCCCACAGGTTTTCCCACGCGTTGCATCTCCATTCACTGCCGTTGGCCATCCACCGAGTGGCACTGTTGTGTAGAGAGAAAAAATGAGCTTCACTTCATCACTCCCTGATGTGCTGTGTGTGGCTCTTCACTTACATTCGCTGTACGCCAGCATCCATCTTCGTTAAAAATGTGTATTTGCCTTGTACTTTGTTGTCCGTTTTACACTTTGTCCTGTGGGGCAATTCGACCATCAGTGCCTCTTTTAGTTGCATTACTTCCCTGTTCTGTTTGAGGCACGTGTTTTGAATTGAACATCTGCTTTAATGCACTTGACTAAAGAAGAGCTTACCTGCCTTGGCCTGAAGTAATAAGCATACTGATTTGTGCGATGAGGTGGTTTGAATAAATTTTAAAAGTGCTGGAAGCCTTTGTTCCAGTCTCCATGTCGGAGAAAAGGGGAACCTAATTTATCTGAAAAGTTTTATAAAACTCATATCATTCTTTTGCAGATTTTAATACTCTACATCCTGACTATGGCAACTACAGAGTAATAGATGAGCAGTTCAGAGTGGTTTTGAATTATATATTGCGCTGTACTTCTGTTCTTCTTGGTGTCTTTGTCCTTGTTCTCCTTATATCTATGAAGCTATTTATTTTTTCTGTAGGAGCCAAACAGAATGAGCCATCAGTTTTGTGTGCCTTTTGTGGGTCTTCCTCTGATTTTTTCGTACATTTCAGTAGAGACCTCTGAAATTCATGGTTATCCCCCCTATAACTTAACTCAAATGTAGTAACACCTGAAGCTTAGGTTTCTTTCAAGTCTTCTCCAGTCCTCTTGTCAACATTTTTTGTTTTATTCTAAGTCCTTAGTATAAATCACATTACATTTAAACTTTCCTTCTTCTTCTCGAGACATTACATGTCTCCACCCTCTGCCCTGCCAGCCGTACCAACCGTTTGGCCCCTTTTCCCACTACCACACCCATGTATTTTCCAAATGGTTTTGAGGCAGAGCATCTGTAAGCCTGGGGTCAGCCCTGGTATCATTAGCAACAGGCAAGTAGTGAGCCAGTTGGAAGCCAGCACTTGAAGGTTGCGATGCCAGGTTTTGCCTCCGAAGTACATATTTTTAGTACATGAAATCCTGTGCATCATTACTGTGAACTATTTATGCATCTCAGTGTGCGCATATATATATTTGAGACATCCTACACAGAAGTGCGTTCTGACTACTGCTTACGTCAGGAATCCTTAACTATCTGTTCTGTGTGCCTTGTAAGCATTTACTTAATTTCCACGTTTGGTGTTTCTTCAGCCTGTTTCATATTGGCTTTAGGACATTCTGGTATGTGCTTAGGTGGTCAGAGATTAGATTTCCCTAATCTTCTTTTAAGGAGGCATAATGTATTTGTCTAAGATTGATAGAATGAGCAGAGGAAAATGAGTTTTGATTCAGTGATGTTCTCAGGTTGCTGATTAAGCTGCTAAAGAAGGAGATAAGTTTGGTTAGTTATTAACTGTAGTTTATGACATCACTTTATACATTTTGATTCTACATGGACGGTAAGAGTTCTGGTTGTTTTGGGGAATTTTTTTTTTTCTATTTTTCTTGAGGAAACTAGAAACTCTCAAATGAATTTCTTGTTAAGCTATTGAGTGAGGAGAAGGTACCACACTGCTTAGTAGGAAAGATGCGGAATCTGTAAGACACATTACAGAGAAGATGAAAATGCCATTTTATGTAATCCTCCCAAGATTCTGAAATCTCTGCATTGGTGCTACAGTGTTATTTCCAAAGTTAGGTGAGGGTTGTTATTGCTTCAGAAATGGATGCACATATAATAAATCCGAAAGACTTCAAAAGCATCATAGTGACTTCAGTTAAATGTTCCACTAAATGTCTGTGTTGGTAAAATGATAGGTGGCTTCTTTGTTACATTAGGGAAAACATGTACAATTGGTGTGATTTGTCTTTCCGCTTTCTTATTTACAATTGTAGAAGTGATGACTCCCCTGGAAATTGAATCCAAGAACTCTGCTTTATGACTTGCAACACACTGTAATTATTCATAAGTGCTATTTTTCTGTCTTGCTTAATTCTTAATCACATTCCCAAATAATCCATGTCACAGCACTGTTGTTCACATAGTTGGAGTCGAATAAAATTTATTGTTTCCTGACAATAGTTTTCTCAGATTTGCTTATTCATGCAGGAGGATAAGGTGTATCCTAAATTTTCTTCTTACCTGGGTATAAAACATACAGAAATAGTATTTTTATCACCTCTGTTTTGCTGAATCTCTGTCTTGGTTTCATTCCATCTTGTATTGCTTTTATTTTTCATCTTCATTATATTTTATAGTCCATAAGAACCAGATAAGTCAAAGCTCTTCGTATTACTTGAGCAAATTCCCTTTTAAGACAGTTGTATTATTCTGTCCACAGAATCTCAGCTATACATACTCCTTCTCTTGTTTGGTTATACAGGTAGTTGTATATTCCGTTCCTCTGAACTTTGATCCCTCTTTTGAAGAGTAGCTATTCAATAAGTAAAGCAGTGGCCTTTTCCAGAGAAAAGGGTAGTTCTCCGTCTATTCAATTTCCTATTATATTTTGGACTTTTTTCCTTAGAACTGAAAGACAGAATATAGGGGGAGGGAAATTCCCTACAAATAATTTTTTCCATCATTTTACCAAACTGTATTATATCATATGCATAGGTTCCTCATACAAGTTTAAAGTGGCCCTCTCTCAATGTTAGATGAAATTTTACCACATAATCTGCTTGTTTGCAGGAGAAGTAGGTTAAGCGTGAGCCGTTCAGTGGAAAAGTATGTGAAAAACATACATCGTTCATTGTTTAACTCTTTTCTTTTTTGGTTGGCTTTTTTTTTTAATCTTGATCCGGTGTGGAAGGTATCTTCTTATTACTTGGATGGGGAAGAGAGCCCATTTAGTCTGATTTATACATAATGAAATATTTTTTCATTGTACTTTACTCAGTCCACCAAATAGAATTTTTTATATTTAGCATTTATATCAGCTGCTCTGGCTTAGCTGTGTGAATTTCTTTTATAAATGCTTTATTTGCTAAAATATGTAATTCCATCTGTTCCAAACTATTTTTAAGTTTTACCTACTGTAAAACCACAGTTCCATTGTAAATTGCCATTATGAAATGCATAAAAAGTCTCCTTCTTACGTAAAGGCAACTGTAAGGATAATGGTGTTGCCAAGTGACATGATTTTATCCTAAAATTAGAAATCTTCTAAAAAAACTTCCTTGCTGTTTGCCACGCAGTGAATTGTCCTTTTCCACCTCTAGAATTACTTATAGAACTGAAGATTCATAGTCATCTCCTTAATGCATATCCCATTTCTCTATAAAATGTGAAGGCAAAAGTTAAGCCTCTCTCTCCTGCACTTCAAGGAAGCTGTTCAGGCTAAGTGATAGGTGGTAAGTAACTAGAGGAGAGCTGAAAAGAAACATTAAAAAACAGTTTAATTAAGTTGGTGAGAAGGAAACAATATATAATGGAAAAAGTTGGAATAAGGAACTTGAAGAAGCAGAAGAGGCAATGTGGAGGGATCTGAAGAAAAGGAGAGGCAGACAGAGGAAGGTCCACAGGAGTAAGAGAAGCAGGGTATAATAAGGGAGAGATGAGCAAAATAAGGTAGAAGAGAATGAAGGAGAAGGTGGGAAGCAGTTTATATGCTGATTTTCTGGCAGAAAATGTCAACAATATTAAACGTAGATCCTTTCTTGCCTTTTGTCCTTTTTGGTCTGTTATGACACATGTGACACTTTGCTAGTTCAGTCTTCTGGCATTTAACAGTCTTTTTGCTAAGGGGACATTCTAAGTAGATCTGTATTTATTCTCTTAAGAAAATGTGAATTGCTGGTGTCATGTGGCTGCAGCTGTGCGATATAGGCTGCATAGGTCAAACACCGTCTTGGCTTGGGCTCTGTCACCGCCAGGCAAGTGGCCAAGCATGATACCACTGACTTCCACACCATTTTGAGGACAGTTACCATTCTAGATCTTGAATGACTGAATGAAGATGTTTCTGTATGAGTAGGTTTTTCTAGTTGTTTCCTTTGTTTAAAATGTTTGATGTCAGCAGAGCTGGTCTCCTTTTGTACCTAAATCTAAATTTCTTTCTATGTTTTCTGCAGCCTTCTCTGCCTCTATTTTCTTTCATTTCTTTGTCTTTTAGTTTTCTTTTATTTCTCTAGAAACCTGTATCATAGGGGAAGACCAACCCATTCTGGAAAAGGAGTTAGTTTCGTATTTTCAGAATTGGTAGTGTATCCACAATGACAAAAGACTAAATACATTGCAAGGTCTTTGCAATAATATGTTGCATATCTGGGAGTAAAGCTGGTGTAGGCGGTAGGAGCACCTTAGAGCAAAGGATGAATGGCTGGTTTCTGTGTAGGAGCTAGTTTCAAATTCGATGACAATTTTGCAAAGGAGATGAGGCTGCACCTGAGACATCTGAATGATTTGGTTTCAGAGGATCATTCTGTATTCTTTAGCTGGTAGCATGAAAAGCACACCAAAAACAAAGGAAAAGGAAAAGAGAGAACATAAACAGGCTCATCAGAATAGTGGACAAAACAAGAAAAGGGAAGGATTCTAGAGCTTTAGTTTGATGTGCTATTTAATTTTTTTTCAGAGTGGAAAATTCTAGAATTGCATTGGCTCACTTTGGATTGAGTTCCTCATACACATAATAGAAAGGTTTCTGTAAACTAGCACCTGTCCTAATTCAACATAGTCCTCGTGAAAGTTAATGAAAACTGGCACATTGATTGGTGTATTTTCTTCTGGAGCTAATCAAAATAAAATTTTAAATTAAGTATTTCAAAACATGCTGTGGGCCTCAATTGGAAGAAATGGTCTTACAAAAGACTGCCTCACTGCATACAGTGTCACAGTGAAACAGCCCAGGCATCTACCCTGATGTCTTCACTAGGACAGTGGGTAACACTAGATTCTTTTGAAAAGCTCCACGAAATGACAGTAAGCAGCTATTGAGTATATTTCATCAAAATGTCTGTTAGGTGGAGATGGCCTTAAAATTTGAAGCATGAGAACTTTCTTTCTTTCCCAAACTTAGTTTACTTTTTGCTGCTGTAAGCCTAGGTATTGTCATCTAGATGTTCAGTGTCCAACCCATTCTTGGCATCAGATGTTATTGTTCTTAACTCTTTGCCAAGTTTTATAGTTTATGTGTTGAGAGAAAAAGGGTTTCATTTGCAGTGTTTATGACATCAGATTATTTTTCTTATTATGCGATGGTACACATTATGCCACACAGGGAAGAGATGGTCTTCAGCCTGTGGATATAATAGGGTATATATACTAAGATGGTATTTATACGGATTATATATATATATGGTTTAGCATATATATATATATACACACTAGATACTGTGTGTTTGTGTATGTATCTGTAATTGTGTATGTATCTATATATACACTATTCTGTGTCAGGTAGTCCTTGAATGTCACAGTGCATGCTGACACACTCAACATTTCATTCTGTGTTGAGCTATCTGTGAATTGTCAATTAAGACAAGGAAGTATTTACAGGGAAAAGAAACAGCCCGTTGATTAATTCTTTTGTTACTTTATACTTGCTTTACAGGCCAAAGTTCAAAAAACATCAGTTCATCTCCAAGCATAGAGAGCTTGTCTGGAGGACGTGAATTTACAGGATCTCCACCTTTGTCTGCATCAAAAAAGGATTCCTTTTTCAATACAATCTCCCGCTCCCGTTCCCAAAGCAAAACTATGAGCAGAAAAGAATCAGTAAGTTCTTTAACTTTTACGTTGTTTTAATGTCACACTGCATTACTTGTTAGAGGCAATTATTTCTCCCATTCATTAAGCTCTTGCGCTTGTAAATGTTTCCCTAAGCCCACATTAATGGCAAAAGCAGAAATAATCTATTTCGACTGTTTCTGTTGAGTAACATCTCCATTAAGGCTTCCATCCCATAATCCTACCTGAAGTGAAGCTATGAACGCGCCTGTTGCCTGTGAGAAAGAAAGGTCCTGTAAGTTTATTTCCTTTGTTAGACTTTTGCTGTACTCATGAAGTTAATAAACAGTTCAGTGGGAAGCATGAATGCTCAGCAGATCCAAATATGTCCATCTGTTGTCCCTGAAATTCCCTAATACATAAGAGGTTTCCCAGTGTCTGTAGCATCTGTAGTCTGCAGTCACAGTTCTATTCTTACGCTGCTCTGACCTTCTGTTTGGCCACAAGAAACTATTATTTAAACAGATTGTTCTCATCCAAGAAAATCAGCTTTTATTGTGGGTGTGTTCCAAAGAAATTCTCGTCCCCTTAGAGATATTTTAGGATCATTACTTTGATAAACCTTATATGCCATGGAGCTGGTGGATTCTTGTTTATTTTATGTTTCCCACTGTCTTTCTGCTGATGAGAAACCAATTATATAGTAGATGGAAAAAGTTATATATTTTGTAAGGTGAAGGCATAATGGTTTTCTCCATTCCATTTTCACAAGTGGTTGCTCATATAACTTCCTATTGATTTCAATAAATAGGAATTGTAGTAACAATATTTCTATATTTATGTGTTCTTTAGGTGTTCGGAGATAAATACTATGCAGAAATTTAATCTGAATATCTCAGCATTTTTGTCTTCAAACAGCAGAATCTTTGTTAATAGTCATATAGAATTTTTCAATTTGATATTTAACATTTTCTAATGAAATGCACAACTTTGCACAACTTCGTTCAGGTTTTGCTCACTGAAAAAGAGTGTTTAATTCTTGTTCCACAAGCTATAATGTTGTCTAAAGAAAAGCTGTGTTTTGTGGTTAGTCAACAAGAAGCTATAATTTTGGTTTGTCTCCATTTAAGACATATTGAATTGAATTTAAAGCTAAAACAACAATTCTAATATCTATCTTCTTGTTCTCATGAGTTGAAGAAAAATAAATATATGACTATTTAACTTTTCTTTTTATGTGGTTTAACAAGATCTAAATCCAGCTTTCATTTGTGACCTTTGCCCAGGCCAGAACACAGGCATTTTGCACTGGTAGAGCTTGAGAATAATTCCTCCTTAGTTCTCTAACGAGAGAGACATAGTTCTCTAGTAGGAGACACAGAAGAATTTGCCATTAGAATAGTCATACTCAATTAGGATCTATTAATGATTAACATGTTTTTCAGGTAAAAAAAAAAAAAATATTTGATTAATGTTTTTTTCAAGGATTTTAGACAAAGAAGTATTCATTAGAAAAGATCTGTAGATTTTTCAGTAGCTTGATAATAATGATAAACTAAGCAGAGCATAAATTTTCAAAAGAATTCTTTGAACTATGATATATAATTTACATTGTAGCATTTTATGATTAAACAACTAGAAAAGGTTTTAGCTTACCAAAATCTGTTTCCTTATGTTCAGTTGTTGAATGACCTTTAATATAGGAAAAAGGATTTTATAGCAGCTCCAAGTGGAAAAGTTTTGTTTAAATCTGTTCTCTGTTGCTCAAGATGATGTTTGCTTTTTGTTTTTCTGTAATTTTCGTGACACCTCATTTTCCACATAGAGAAGAAAACACCAAAAAGTATATTCTGAGGTCCCATAATAGTTGCATCGGAATTCTCCAGTTGTTTAATTTACAGATGTTTTCTGGAGGCAAAAAAGGGCATTAATTCATATCTTTATTTTATTTATAAAACTGAACTGGTTTACCTTTTCACTCTAATAATTATACAGATTATGTTGCTGGGGAAATACCTTTGTTGGAACATGGCTGTGCATCAATCATTTTATAAAAAGCTAGTTTTAAAATCAGGCATTCTTGGTGTAATGGATGAAAGAGAATCCATTTTCCCTTCATCTTTACACTTCTAGTTAATGCCCTTCCCAAACAAAGCGGAAATCGAATACATGCATAAAAATACATCCTTCAACATGGAGTGAAAAAAAGTGATTTTCACAAACAAGAGGACATCACTGTAACATCATCATGGGATGAACAGGAATGTAATCACTACAGGTCACACCTGGAGTATGGGTCCAGTTCTGAGCTCCCCAGTAAAACACAGACGTGGGCATGCTGGAGACAGTCCAGTTACAAAGGCAATGAAGAGACTGTGGCACCCATCCTATGAGAGAAGGTTTTGAGAGCTGGGACTGTTCAGCTTTGGGAAAAGATGACTTGGGGGGGGATCTTATCAATGTGTATAAATACATGAAGGCAGGGTGCAAAGAGCCAGGCTCTTTTCAGTGGTGCCCAGTGACAGGACTAGAGGCACTGAGTACAAACTGAAACAGCGGAGGCTCCGTCTGAACATCAGGAAACATTTTCACTGTGCTCTGGCCCATGTTGTCCAAGGAGGTTATGGAGCCTCCATCTTTGGAGGTATTCAAAAGCTGTCTGGACACAGTAACTCTGCCTGAGTTGCAGTTGGACAAGACCAGCTTCAGAGGTCCCTTTCAACCTCAGTCATTCTGGGATTCTGTGGCAGGATAAACTGCAATGTGACTTGTCTAAATTCTTTCCTTCCGAAAGTGGGTTCAACAAGTTGGGACTTTCTCTTGGAGAGTTGTGATCAAAACTGATGCTTAACTTGATTCATTCTCCAGGGAAAGGATGTGTCCATTCCTTATATTAAGGACTTCTTAAGGTAATAACACTTGAATTATATTTAGTCTTCTAGATATTTTTGCCTCTCAAATGCAAAGATGAGTGGAATTACTTTTTTACTGCTGTTGTCAGAAACAGATGTCACCTGATTTATTTAGTTAAGGAAGTGGATCTACAGCCTCACGGCTGAATGCACAACATCAGATTACGTTTTGGCAACCCTCAGCAGCCTGATGTTTTTCACATTACTATTGAATGGCACTCAGCTATATGTGAACATGAGGCCCACCAAATGTGTTTGAAAGTGCTTTGAGCTCAGCAGTGAGATGGTTCCTTACCCCTTTATGCAGTTCATGCCTTTCTGACAAGTATAACTTAGGCTGCATTTGCTGGAGCTGTCTTCCCGTAAACATGAACAGGAACTTTTAGTCTGCAATGCCCCCCAGTGCCCATTATCTTCTGGCTGGGTCAGTCTTGCTGGAATAAAGTCCTAGAAAATTGCCTCTTGTTGCCTGTCTACTGCCATTTCCTTTTCAGCAGAGTTGGGAAATAGGGTGCACTTGTGGTCTGTTTGCTTCTCATGATGTTTCATTTGCATCTCCAGCAACCATTAAGGACAGTCTACCCCTCTTTTTGGAAAATAGCAAAGCTGCTTAGATGTTGATTCTGGCAAATATGGTTGGCTGGTCTCAGTTTCTGGCCAAATATTCTGTAAATCGCTTTCAGTCATAGAGGTATACCAGAGAGGGAACTTTCAGTCAACAATATGTCAATTTTAAACAATACAAACATTTTAAAACCTTTCATTAAAAAAAACACAGAAGGAAGATGGTTTTGACTAAAAACAAAGCTGTGATTTAGAGAAACTGTATATTTTAATTAGTAAATTTCTACATAAAAGGTTTCAAGTTAAGAAAAATCAAATTAGCCATTTGGAAAATATGTTAGTTAGAAAATTCCCGAGAAGGAAACATCTCTAAGGAAAATCTGGAGCAGTTTATTTTCTTTACTAAAATGATTTACAAACATGGTCAGTTGGAATCCTCATTTCTTAGGAAAAAATCCTGAACAAAAGTGTCATGCCTCATGCTGGTTTTGACTGCACAGACTTTTTAATTAAATCAAGTTTGACAACATATGCTATTGTCCCACAAGCAGATAGAAACAACTGTTACTGTCTGTGATTTACATAGCTAGTCAGACTGATTTGAAGTTAGTTTTAAGTACCCCTACAGGTTTGAAAATTAATGTGTGCCATTATTTTCAATTAAATAGGCATCTGCTCTACTGATTTAGGATCCTGGTTTTAAGCACACAAACTTGACAGTTTTGCTGAAGTAGAAGTGGTATGCAAAAATCAAACAGATAGTAAAATAAATACTAGACAACCACATGTAGAAAATCATGCATCCAGATTCCTTTGAAGAGCATGCGTTTTGTGCATGGTACACATCTTGGGTACTTTTTTTATTCCATATATCTTTCCCTGACTATTTTAAAATGTCTTCAATAAATTTTAAGCAAAATGCTTTTCAGTTCATACTTAACAATGCCAAAAGTTTATTTTGAAATACAAATGCTATGATGAAATGCCCTTTTTTAGTTAAGCATCATAAAACATGCCCAGAGTTTGTTAGCTTCAGTGTACAGCAGCCAATTCCTTGATCGCTATGTTGGGTTTGTTAATCCTAAAGTTAAAGAGATGATGATTGTTCTCAGTGCCGTTGAGTTTAACGAGCTTCAGTGCCTCAGTATTTAACTGCAGTTAATACTGGAGGACTTTTGTCTTCCTTACTCTGATGTGATAGGCCAATTCAGACACCTAAAAATTGCAATTTAGTTAGTCCTTCAGTGCTTGTCTAATATTAGGGATAGATGAAAAGAATAATAAACCTGAGATGCTGCCAGGTCATGTGAACAGAGTTTGTAGAAAAACCTCTGAGATATTTTGGAAGTGTGATTCTTTTCTCCATTGCCTTCCTCAGGCTCCCACAAAATGCTGTAAATCAAATGAAAGAGTTGAAAATGGTACAAGGGAAAACGAGCTTTCTTTTAGAGTTTTTTATTAGAAATAGTTGCAAGTTTCATATAATGTAGTAAACCCACAGCTGTATGCATGAGTGGCAGCTTTGAATCCTAATGCTCCTTATCTTTTTTGGAGTGATTCATTTCAGGAAAA